GGGTAATCATAGGGTTGCAAAATTTGATGGGTAGAGGGATGGGTTGGTAAAGGAAATGGGAAAGATCTGGCATGAAAAACAATGTATATGAACTTTGTAAACAAACCAGTATAAAAGAAAATTTTGGTTTTTTAAAAATATATTTGCAGTATTTGTCTTTTTGTGACTGAGATATTTTACTCAGCATAATGTCCTCCAGGGCAACCTATTTTGAATAATATTGCACGAGTTCCTTGTTTTTCAGTGCAGCATAGTATTCCATAGGGTGAATATACCACAGGTTCTCTATCCATTCATTTGTTGATGTGCACTTAGGTTGTTTCCAACTCTTTGCTATTGTGAACAAAGCCGCAATAAACATGGATGTGCATATATCTGCCAGGGTGGCAGTTCTGGTTTCTTTAGGGTATATTCCCAGTAGGGGAATTGCTGGGTCAAATGGTATTTCTATTTGTAACTTTTTGAGAAAGCACCACACTGCCTTCCATAGTGGTTGCACCATTTTACACTCAAATGGGACTGACATCAGGGTTGGGGTGAGATTGAGAAAAATTGGATAAATTATGTATACTTCATTGAAACAGATGAGGGAGAGAACAGTTAAAAATGATATATGATTGGGTATTATGGTTATGACAAGAGTCCAGAATGAAGGTTGCATAGTAGAGTGTACTTGGGGGTGGGGGATTGTATACCAATGAAGAAATTTTTCTTTTACTTTTCAAAGAGAGGAGTGAACTGGGGGGGGGGAAGGGTGGGCAGGGAGAAAAATGCAACAAAGAATGAATAGAAATCCAAAATCTCTGTAAATGTTCATTAAAATTAATAAAATAAAATTAAAAAAAAAGATATTTGCGATGGGTAAATCATTGACCATACAAAACTTGATCATTCTTTTTCCAGCCTCATTTCTGTCACTAAGTCTTTACTTTCCAACTACTATTCTTTCTTCATTGTTTCCAACTTTTGCATTCCAGTCACCAGTTGTCTTTAACACATTTTTATTCTAAGTTTGGTTAACTTTGGACTGCAAGGTTTGTTAAAAATGTTTAATTTCGTCCTTTTTTGATTGAGCTACAGGAGTGTGTATTTGAATAATAATTGTATTGATAGGTCTTTCTTGTATGTGTGTGGATAATATCCTATCACTGGCAACATTGTGCTTCAGGATGGAACTGGAAATTATCTTTTTAACTATAAATGCAACACCTTTCTTCCTCTTTTTCATTCCCAGTGCAGTATCCCATGTGATTGCTGATAATAAGTGGGCAGAGCCAGTCCATCTCACCTTAAAACACCTGGGTTGTCAGTGTTCATGTGTTTCATGTAATTTTTCAGAACGTCTAGTTTTCCGACATCCATGTTTTGTACATTCCATGTTCCAATTATTGAAGGATGTTTGTCACCATTTTTTCTCATTTTGATTGATCTCCAGTCTGGGCTCTACCTCCAATACTGTAACTCTCTGTGCTTCCCTACTATTCACAAGGTTTTCAGAGGCCTGCTGTTTAAGAAGTGCATGGCCAATCCTTCTTTCTAGTCTTTCTTAATCTATGAGCTCTACTAAAACTTGTCTACCATGGGTGACTCTTGTGGTATTTGACACACTGGTGGGATAGCTTTCAGCATCACAGCAAGCCACAAGTTACTTGAGTACAGCAAACTGACAGACAAGTGCTGTACTAATTAGAACAAGGAATTCCCCCAATACAACAAGCTGTGCAATTAGTGTTGTACCTCTAATAGCAAATCAGACATAAGAATATTGTGTTACCTTTTGAATTGCTGCAATCTGGTGTTATGAAATCAGTTCCAACTCATAGAAACCTATGTACAATAGAACAAAACACTGCTTGGTTCTTCACCATCCTCACAATCATTGCCATTTGAACCCATTGTTCAATCTGACCAAGGGTCTTCCTCATGTCCCTTGGTAGGACATAACACATGTAAAGCATTTAAAGCAGTGCTTGGCAGATTGTCAACTATAGCTGCTCTTCTGAGAGCTCTATAGTAAGCAGATACCTTGATTCACACCTTGGCTCTTGTTTCACCTGCCAGAAGTAATGGCAGGATGACTAGGAAACAGAGGCTATCTCTTTCAGAGGCCATGGTCACCTACCACTGCCCACTTTTGTTGAGTCAACTCCAACTCGTGGTGACCCTATAGGACAGAGCAGAATTGCCCCAAAGGGCTTCTAAAGCTGAAAATCTTTAAAGACACCAACTGTCACCTTTTTCACCTATGGAATAAAATAACTAACCTTTCTACCTTTCAGTTAGTGGCCCTATACTTAATCCATTACACTACTGGAACTCCTGGCCTCATGTTCAATCTCAGGAGCATACCCCAGAAGAATGTCACCATATTCATCTACCAGCAGCCCTCATTACCCCTCAACTTTCCTTTCAAATGTGTGCCCTGACTCCTCAGTTTTTTCCACCAGCATGGGCCTTTTCCCTCTTCCAAATGCTTAAAACTTGGGAGGGTGAGTTTAGACTTCTCCTTGGGCTCCTCTTCTACTCTGGAGGGGCCATTTAAAAATTCACCAATGTTTCTCAAAATATGGACACAGCTGCCCACCTGGGGATTTGTGCCCTAAAAGGTTGTTTTCATTTTTATGCCAATTAGACTGAATCTGAACTGAAGTGTGAGGGGATGGACGATGAGGATGTACACTTGATAAGGTCTTAAGTTTCTGTACACGTAAAAGACTGGGATTTTAACCACAAATCAAATCCTCCCTACTCCAGGAACATAATATTTGGTGAAGATTAGGCCCAAGGGATTCAAGAACCTGGTAATAGGCTTGCTGGAAATGTGTGTCTTCCTAGTTCAGGGAGGTGTAATTGCCTGCAGAAAAGAAGAGAAGGAACAACAACAAAATAAAGAAAAATTACTGCATCCTAGAAATCAGGGCCGGGCTTATGCACCTCTTAAATCCTCATGATCTGTGGTACAGAGGCAGGCTAGGAGTCCTAGACGACTCAACTGACTCAAAGGCACCTAACAACAACAACAAAAACAAAGGGGGTCACTGTCACAGGCCTGCTATCTCTCAGCTCTCTTGGTAGCAAAAGCAACATGCCAAGAGAGCAGCGCTGGGCAGAGCAGTGGTGAAAACCGAGGCTCGAGGAGAAGAGGAGCCTTCTACCATACCTTGTTGTGTTATTGCTATGTACCGTCAAGTCAGACCCAACCCAGAGCTGACTCTCCTAGCAGATTTTCAGAGGCAATAAATTGCAGGAGAGGAGACTGCCTATCTTTCTCTGGCAGAGCAGTTGATTTGAACGGCATGCCTTTGGGTCTACCATACTTTTGTTGTTGTTGTTGTTGTGAGGTGCCACCGACTCAAGTAGCGATCCTGTGAACACGATCTGAATCCTGTCCTATCCTGTGCCATCCTCACAAACTCTGACACCCTCGAACTGCAGCAGTCACTTTGTCAATCCATCTGACTGAGGGTCTTGCTCTCCTTCGCTATCCCTCCACCTCTTCAAGGAATAGCCTCTCCTAGCAACTTGCCCAGAGTAAGTGAGATGAAACTTCTTGTCTGTGCCTCCAAGGAGCACTCTGGTTGCATCTTCCACAAGACCTATGTTTATTCTTCTGGCAGCCCGTGAGATAGTCCGCAATCTTCTCCAACACCACTGCTCAAAGGCATGTTGTTGGGTTGAGTACTATGGAGTGGGGACTGACCCATAGCTGACCGTCCAGTGGGTTTTCAGAGGCAGTTAATCGCCCAGGAGGAGATTGCCCATCCTCCCGAAGAGCAGTTGGTGGCCGCTCAAGGTGTAGGACCTTGAAATCCTAGTGCTCAGCCTCAACCAGCTCCACCACTAGGGTGCGGAACTCCTCTCCCTGAAGCCGAATCACACCTCCAAGCGTCTTCTCAGGGCCACAGCTCTGGTTCCCCACCCTCCCTGGAACACTGCTCGTCCTTTCTAGCCTCAGTTTCCCCGCCTGCGCCAATGCGGGGATAGGGGCGGTGAGTCTGGGAGCAGTGGGAGGATCAGCAGCGGGATTCCCCACAGGAAAGCCGCCCAAGCCTGGCCAGCCCGCTCCCCGCCCTCCCCGCTCCCGTAGGCTCCCAGTAGTTTAAAAAGACCCTGAACCAAAACAGTAGGCAGGATGCCTCCAGCCGGGAAGCGGCCCCAGCCCGGATTTCCCTCCCGGGTGGGGCGGCAGTGACTCACCCCCCTCCCTCTGTTCCCGTTTCCTTGTTTGCATTTCTCCTACTGGCCACGTGGCGGCCGGCGAGGACACTCACTGCCCGGACCCTGCGCCCTGGCACGCACCCTGGGGCAGCTCCCGCCCCTTAGGGTCTCTCCAGGCTCCCATTAGTGCCCGCCCCGGGGACCTGGGGGTCCCGACTCCACCCCTGACCCACGCCTGCCCCCTTCTCCTGCACGGCAGTCTCCTGCCGTGGGCGGGCGCCTCCTCCCCGCCCCCTCATCCCCGGAGGGAGGAGAAGAGGGCGGACGGCGCAGGGGGTGTGACAGCTCCCGCCCGGCCCGGTGCCAGCTGCAGCCTCACTTCAGAGCCTGTGCCAGCTGGCTCTTTAGTCTGGGACGGAGGCGGAGGCTCGGGGTGGCAGGTCGCTGTAGGGGGGCCTCACCCCCCGCCCCCTCCCCCCAAGCCCTATACCCACCCAAGAGGAACCTCTTTGCCCTGCGTTTTGCTGCCCTGGGAGCAGATCCAGCTAAGGAATTGTTCCTGTGCACTGCGCCTGGGACTTGCCCGTGCTCCTCCAGGTTCTCCCTATTAGAACTGAGGGTGGATCGCTGGGGGTCCCTCGGCATTTTGCCAGAGTTCTCACAGCTCTGTGAACTTGACAAAGAACATGAAGGTGGGTATGGTAGGGACAGGGTCGAGGAGGAGCCAAGAGCGCGGGAGAGGAAGCGGACACGGTGGGGAGTTTGGATGGGAGAGAGAGTGTTGGTCAGGGGTGAGGGAGGAGGGGAGAAGTGTTTGAGCTGAAACTGCGTTCAGGGGATCCAGTGAGTCAGTAGCCTCATGCTGGGAGATGGTGGACCATCTAACAGGGGCATAGGCAATGGAGCAGGGCCGAATGCCAAACAGGATTCAGAAGAAGGGCCCGCTTTTTTCTGGTAATCCAGCCAGGGACCCCTAAGTGCGCCAGACCAGCAGGCCCAGCAGAGGTCTTCCTGTCCCTCCCCCGGCACCTGGCAGGGCTGCAGCACCTCCGCCTGACGAGCCCAGAGGACTGGAAAGAAGTGGTTCTGCCTGGGGCAGTTGTGTCCTGGTCCAGCTGCCCCAGCCCCTGCCCCATGGCTGCCTGCCTTTCTTCCCGCGTCACAGGTGGGCTGGCCAGGTGAGAGCCGCTGGCAGGTGAGCTTGGCTGTGCAGGAGAAGCCCGCTCTGGGAGCATCGCCTGTGGGGAGCCTCCCAGACGTGGTGCCGGAGGGGACGCTGTTCAACATGGTGCTGAGGAGGATGTACCGACCCAGAAGCTGTTCCTACCAGCTGCTCCTGGAGCATCAGCGCCCCAGCCGCATCCAGGGGCTTCGCTGGGTGAGTACCCATCACCTGCTCGCCCACTGCAGGGCAAGGGGGCCCGGCCTAGAATGAAGACGGTCTGATTTTCTCTGGGGTCTTAGAGCAGCTTAGCTGAAATGTGTGTGGGTGGCTCACATGGCTGCAACGTGTGTGTCCATTGTGAAGGGGTGCCCAGTGCCTCCATTCGGGCATGGAGGTGAAAGGAAAGGAACTTGGTGATTTACTCCTCATTTCTGTGTACCAGGCATGGAGTTAGGCGGGAGTGGGACAGATGTGGGACATACTGGGGCCAGGTCAATGGGGGACAAGGTGAGCTTTGTTGTTGTTCTTACTATGTCACTGTAGAAACATTCTTTTTTCATGAGCCACTGAACTTAGCAGATTGTGCTTTGTGATCTTGGGGTGAATGGTCAGATGGACACTGCTTGACATCAGGCTTTACAGGAAACCAAGGAGAAACCTATCAGTCTGAGATCTGAAAAGAATGCTATCTATTCCTATATAGAAATTCCAAGAGAAAATGAAAGCTGTTTACAGCAGGAGAGTTTGAGGTTACATACAGAAAGGACTTACCAACTCTGATAAAAGTTAGCACTGGTGTGGAGTGGAAGAACATCATCTTCTTTGGAAAAAAAGGAAGGGGACATGAGAGCCTGTCAGATGTCTGCAGGCTAAAAATGTCTGAGTCAAGGACAAGATCAGGACAAGATACAGGATGGGGTTCTGGAGAAGTTTGGAGAATCTGAGATGACTGGAGCTCCTTTTGCCAGGGAACAGAATCTCTGGAGTTAGAGTTGGAAGATTGAAGGAGCGAGGGGTGGGGGGAGAACGGGGACAGAAAGAGAGGTGGAGGCTGCTGGGGCAGGGACAGTCAGGATCATAGCCTTAGGGTCCAAATCAACTGAGGAGTTGGAACAAGGCATCTGCCATCCCTAGCCCCTAGACTTAGGAACCTGGCTGGTGTGTGTACACTGTGGGACTGGGAGCTAGGGAGGCCAGGGGAGAGGGGTGCAATGATAAAAGTGTGCCTGGGTGAAGGGATGGACAGAAAGTAGGATGGGGGACAAATGTGGGAGAGTGTTTCACTTGCCAGCAAGTCCATTTGAATAGAATGATTACCACCTTCTCCATCCTTCCTCTTACCCAGCCCAGCTCCCAAAATATGAGGCTGAATTGAGAAAAACCTGAGGTCTAGGAGAGTAAAGAGTTTGCAGAAGAATTGGGATTGAGAGGGGGGTCCAGATGTCCAGCTTTTTGCCAGCCCCTTGATTCCTGAGTCTCCCTGATAAGGGCCTCTTGGGCTTGGGTCTTGCCTAAGATCGGGCTCTGGAGGGGCCGGGAAGCTGGTCTCTCCTGAGTTTAGCTGTCCCTGCCCTCCCATCCGGCTCTCTGGGTCACTGGCAACTGGCAGTAGCTACTGCTTGGAAGCAGTGGGCTGGAACCCTCCCTCCCTTCTTCCCTCTCAAGCTATAATTACTTGTGCATTTCCTGTCCCCTTCCCAGCTTCTAGAGGCTAGGTAGGGAGTGGGGGGAAGGTCAGGTGCCAGAACAATGAGGTCACTTGGAGGATCCCCTGGGATCCACATTCTGGGAGACAGTGGAGGAGGCCGCCTGGCTGTCTCCTAACTCCCTCCACTAACCCCCCAGAATACAAGGGCTGGAGAGTCCAGAGGGTGGAGGGGGGTGAAGGTTGCTAGACTATAAATGGGTTAAAGGTACAGAAACAAGACCTCTCCCTTGCTAGGTGGGAGGGCAAATGGTGGTTGATGAATAGAGGAAACGGAGATTTTCCAGGACTAGAGTCAGGCAGCCACACCTTCTCCTAATGGTCATTTCTGGGGGATGCAGGGCAAAGGGTGCACTTCTGCTTAAGAAACTCTAGGTAAATTTGGAGTTGCCCTTCCTACCTGGTGATGACACTTTTGATCCAAGAAAGGCTCACAGGAAACAGGTACACAGCAGAGAACATGGACACAGTCACCTATAGCTCCATATAGGGCGGGTGTTAGAAAAAGCCCTGAGCCCCAGGAGGATGGTGCTAGGCTGGGTATTAATCAGGTCCTAGCTTCTTTATAGAAAACCAAGAAGAAACCTATCAGTCTGAGATCTGAAAAGAATGCTATCTATTCCTGTATAGAAATTCCAAGAGAAAATGAAAGCTGGTTGCAGCAGGAGAGTTTGAGGTTACATACAGAAAGGACTTACCAATTCTGATAAAAGCACTGGTGTGGGGTGGAGGAACATCATCTTCTTTGGAAGAAAAGGAAGGGGACATGAGGTCCTGTCTGATGTCTAAGGGCTAAAAATGTCTGAGTCAAGGACAAGATCAGGGAGATCTGTCTTGGGTCCTGCTGGCTCAAGGAAGCCCCAGAGTGCTGCACTCTGAGTGGCAGTGTTGGGGGGAGTGGCTGTCCCCCAGCTCAGAAACTATGCTTTCATCTGATCTGCCCAAATATTAGCAGTAACTGATAGTTAGTCCTTTTGTCCCAGGTATTATGATGAGAGCTTTACCTTGATCATATTACATAATCCTTACAACAGTCCTGTGAGATAAGTCCAATGTCATCATCCCATCATCTAAAAGAGCTGAGAAGTAGAGGCACAGAGAGTTTAGATGACAGGTCCAGGATTTCACAGCTAAAAGGTAAAGCTTGTCTTCGATCCCAGGCAATTTGGCTGCAGGGTCCAAGTTCATAACCACTGTGGTGTGCTTCTCTCTTGCTGTAGCAACAACACTGACACCTTCAGGTGTCACCCCTTCCCCTGTTCCACCATGCACAGCCCTGGCCTGAGACCTAAGGGAACTGGTCTGACAGGTCCTCACGCGGCTGTCTGGCTCTGTGCCTGCTGCTCCAGCCGGGCTCTGACACTCAGCGACAGAGCAGGGTGGGTGGGGCAGGTCACCATGCTGGTGCCAGGGAGTACCTCCCCTTCCATCTTGAGCGCTTCCGGTCCAGAAAGGAGAAGAGGAGGTGGGCTAGGGCCTTTCCCTCCCGAAACCTCAACTCCTGCCACCTGCTTCTTCCCAGCCAAGAACCAGTAAGCGGACATTCTTGGTCTTCAGATCAAGAATGGGGCAGCGGATAGCACACACTTCTTGCACTGACTTCTGTTAATAGATGGCCATCTTGAAATGACAAAGTTTGGTCGAGTTACTGACATTTACAAGCAGTAACCATGAGCCAGAGACCATGCCAAGAGCTTTACGTTACTAATCGTTGGTGCGAAGTGCTTTACATTATTAACTCATTTGTGTCAAGTGCTTTACATTACTAACTCATTTGCTTTCCATAATAACCCTATGGGATAGTCACCGCTAACATCAGCTCCATTTACAGATGACAAAATTGAAGCCCCAGGTCACACAAACAGCAACAAGGTCTCACTGCCAGTTATAGAACAAGGATTTGAACCAAGGCCTCTGGCCTCTTTGGACATATTGTCAGGAGGGACCCGTCCTTGAAAAAAGACATCATGCTGGGAAAGGCAGAGGGTCAGCCAAAGAGAGGTAGACCCTCTAGGAGAGTCTGGCACCATGGCTATAACAACGGGTTCGTGCATGGTGCAGATCAGGAGAATGGCGCAGGGGCAAGGTTCCCTTCAGCTAGCTACAAGTTGTAGTCAACTCAACAGCATCTAACAACAATAATATATATCCTCAGTGCCTAGATGTTTGACCACTGGTCTTGAATAACCACCCGCTTCCCTGGAAAGTCGCATGCATGTGAATATCTAAGGACATGGGGTGGAGTTGAGAGTGGCTTAAGGAGTCTCTAGGTTACATAAATTGTTAAGCTTTCATTTCCTTACCAGAAAGTTGAAGAAGCCTACTTAATTTCCTTTGACTCAATGTTTTCCAAATTATTTTGTCCGTAGAATAGTCATAAGGGCAGAATGCCCCCACAGTCCTCTTCCATGGTGCGCGGTGGGAGGAACATATGGCTGGCACCCTGGCAAATGGTAGGGTGGGGTGGCTAAGAGCATGGGCTTTGGAATCACGCAGCACAGGTGTGAATCCTAGTGCCCCTGTTTGCCAGCTGTTGTGGCAGGTTATATAAGCTCTGAGCCGCCTTTTCTTTAGCTGTGAAATAGGATAAAAATACCTCCTTCCAGGCCTGGGAGCAGAGCTATGCAGTGGAACCTTAAATCTAAGCAGTTATGTGGCTGGATGAGTTGCTTCACCTTTCTAGACTTCTGTTTTCCTGGGTAGAAAAGGAAAGGCGCCTTCAGGACTCCCCTCCCAGCTCCCAGGGGCCGGAGCCCCCACTCTCTGGCCCTCACTCCCTGAGTAGGACAGGAAATGGTTTAAACTAGGCTTACAGATCTGTCCCATTGCCTGCCACCTCCCCTTCTGATGTGCCCTCTGGGGTATATAATACAGAAAGGGGAACAGTGCTGGAGCCTGGGTTGTGGGCACTGAAGGAAATTGGGGCAGGGAGTGGGGACACCTGGACACTTTACATGAACAACAAGTTATGAGCACTCGGGCACTATTTGTCCTGACACTGGGACCGGGCTGGGTAGCAGTTCTGTCCTTCCTCCCTCCCTAGCTCCTCCTCCTCCTCATTTCCTGTCATTAAGTCTCCAGGGCTTTGAGTCTGGCAGTGAGTTGGGCCTCATGACCTGGGCAGGGAGACCCTTGGGACACCTAGTGACTTCCGCCCAGCCCTGGCCAAGCGCCTAAGCACGCCAGACCTCAGGTCTCCGGGCACACAGCCGGAAAATGCTCGTGCCCAGGGGCCTGCCTGTCAGACCAGCAACGGGGGCTCTGGCCTCAGGCCTGGCTGTACCCTAGCTTCTTAGCAAGGTCTTTCTTTGTCAGGAACCTGAGGCAGATGAGGAAACATGAGAAAGGTTGCTGGTGAGGAAGTGAGGAGGAAGGGGAAAAGAGCAGGTGTGGTGGGTGGAGTGAGACCAAGAATGTGAGCCTGTCTGGGTCGGAATGTGAGTTTATCCATAGTGTCTGTCTCAAGAATGTGTGACTGAGTGAAGCAGGGAACTTCATCTCAAGACTTGTTTGCTCAGAAGTTAAAGAGAACAGACTTGCCCTGATGCTACGCACCTGATCCTGTTTGTGTAGGAGGAAATCACAGAGGTGGACACGCTTTGTAAACGGTAAAGTGCTCTGTCCTCAGAAGGGCTCACCGAGTGCAGGGCATTCTGTCCAGAGAACTGAAGGTTCCAGGCCTCAGGTGGCAGGTAAAGAAAGGTCTAAGGAGCTTTCATGGGAGACATTGCAGGGTGTATGGAGCACATGTGTGTTAACCGGCATTTCTACCATCACCCTGCCTCCCTGCCTATTGTGTTGTCGAGGCTTATTCACTCCCACAAGTTTATAGACCAACAGCATCTGAGTTGAAAGGGCCCTTCTAATAGGGCTCCACCCCGAGTCTCCCAGAAGAATAATAGCTAACATGTACAGGCAGTCCCTGGATTACAAACAAGTCCATTCCTAAGTCTGTTTTTAAGTCAGGTTTATACATAAATTGTAACAGGCAGGGTTTGTGTCTAATGTCAGATAGTCAAATGCTCGTTTCAAAATATAATACATGGTGTGTACCTTCCTGGGCCTAAAAAAGCATTAAAGAAACACTACCAGATATTCTAAAACATCTTGAACAAAATACTAATAATAGTTTAAAGTGAATCACAAAGCACTTCAAGTTTTTAATATGATAGGCTTTAGGGAGATTGGTTCATTACAATGAACTGTACATAAATTGGATGTTCGTAATCCAGGAACTGCTTGTTTACAGAAATTATGTACCCAGGAATGTGTTAGGCATTTTAAATATATGTTAACTCAGAATCCTTCCAGAAGCTTATGAGTAGATACTATTAGTGTTTGTTTCATAATCTTGATTTTGTAGATGAGGAAACTGAGGCAGGGAGAGGTTATGTCATTTGTTCACAGTTGCCCCACCAGCAGGGATTTGAATGAAGAAATCTGGCTTAAAAAAAAAAAATCAGCATTTTAAACTACCAGGAGCTCTGATGACTTAGTCGTTGGGGCGGTGGGGTGGTGGGGTGGAATGCACTGCTAACTCAAAGGTGGCCAGCTCAACTCCACCAGTGGCTCCGAGGGAGAAAACTGGGCATTCTCCTCCTGAGCAGTTTACAGCCTCTGAAAACTCACTGAAGGGTCAGCCATGAGTTGGCTCTGATTTAAAGGCAATGAAGTGAGTGAAGGAGGCCAAACTGGAGCCCACAGAGGGCGTGGATTGGCTGTGTTCCAGTGGTTGGTGGCAGAACCTGACTCAGGACTATGTAACCCCAGCTTGGGGGGGCAGATGTTCCTAGGTCTCCTCTGCTCCCTTCATGGCTTCTCATGAGTCTCCTTATCTCATGTTCTCATTCTGTTCAAGCTCCAGTTCATTCCCCTTCTGCACAGGCACAGCTTATCTGGGAGTCAGGGTACCCTTGAAATTCAGAGAGGCAGAACAAGGGTGCTCATCTGAGGGGATGCAGTGACTGGGTCTGGGGTGCAGGATGGGGTCTCAGGGTGGGGCAGGGGCTCAGAGGTGCTCACAGTTTGTTTCTTTGTTGAAGGAGTGGTTGAATGGGTGCATTTGGAGTTGGGTGCTAGGCCGGAAATGAGAGCGAGGGGGTGGGAAGTGGTTCGTTGAAGTGCACACTCTCCCCCACTGCCCTCAGACGCCGCTCACTGACAGCGAGGAGTCCCTGGACTTCAGCATGAGCCTGGAGCAGGTACAGGCCACGGGGGCTGAGCCGGGAGGGGTGGCAGGACCGAGGGGTGGCTGGAGGCCTGAACTGTGTGTCCTCCTCTCTGGAAGGCCTCCGCAGAGCGGGTGCTCAGGGCCGGGAAGCAGCTGCACAGGCACCTCCTGGCCACCTGCCCAAACCTCATCCGAGACCGGAAGTACCACCTCAGGCTCTACCGGTGAGTGGAGCCCCCGTCCAGCCTCCTCACCCACTGACATCACCCTCGGGTCTGTTCTCTCTCCCTTCCTCCTCTGTTTCACTCCGGCATCTGTGGTCTAGTTCTGCATCTAGCAGAACTGGGGTTGGGCCTACGTAGGTGCCTTTCTGAAGGAGAGTCCTTCCTTCTGTGCTTACAATCATCCTCCCTTTTGATTCTCCTTCCATGTGCCCCCTCCCACTCCTCCTAGGCAGTGCTGCTCTGGCCGGGAGCTGGTGGACGGGATCCTGGCCCTGGGGCTTGGGGTGCATTCGCGGAGCCAAGCCGTGGGCATCTGTCAGGTGTTGCTGGATGAAGGTGCCCTCTGCCATGGTGAGCCCGAGTCCAGGGTGGGCTACACAAAATTGAGGACAGGCGGGCAGTCCTGGGCAGCAGACATCAATGGGGGTGTAAGGGGAATTGACTCTGCAGTGGGTCATATCCCCACACAGCCTCAATGTCCCTCCTTCCCATGCCTGGGCCTTTGCCCTACAGTGAAACACGACTGGACCTTCCAGGACCGGGATGCTCAGTTCTACCGTTTTCCTGGGCCGGTACCGGAACCTGCAGGGCCCCATGAGATGGAGGATGAGCTGGTGGAGGCTGTGGCTCTGCTCTCCCAACGGGGGCCTGATGCCCTGCTCACAGTGGCCCTTCGAAAGTCGTGAGTTGGGGGCCCTGCACCCCTACCCCAGTTCCCACATAGTATTCAGGTTTCTCTTTGAGGGGATCCCTCGTTTTCCCCCGAGGGAAAGAAGACCTGAGTTATGGTCTTCATTCTGCCATCCACTCGCTATATGAGCTCTAGGCACCTGCCCCCCCCCCAAGTCCCTCTCCACCTCTATAAATAAGGGCATTGATTTCTGTGGAGCCTGTCCACCAAGAGGGTGGGCTTTAGAATCTGCAGGAAGGACTGGGTTCAAATTTCAGATCCTTCGGCTGTCAGCTAGGTGACCTTGGGCTTGTCCAGTACCGTCCTCTTTTGTGCAGCAAGGTTAGCAGCCCCCACGTCATAGGGCTGTTGTGAGGATGGAATGAAATAGTGCGTGTAAAGTGCTTAGCACAGTTCTGGATTGAGGTACACACTCACTAAAGGTTAGCTAAGTCTCCATGGAGGTGCCACCTGGCTCTGAGCCCATACTGGGTGTTAAATGGCTCCCCTGTCTGGCCCCGGGCCCCCAGTTTAGGACTGCCTTTCCATCCCTCCTCTGAGTGCCTTCCCTGTGCCCACAGCCCAGGTCAGCGCACAGACGAGGAGCTGGACCTCATCTTTGAGGAGCTGCTGCACATCAAGGCTGTGGCCCATCTCTCCAACTCGGTTAGCCCCTACCCCTGCCCACTGCAGTCTGGCCCAGGCGGCTTTTCTGGCTGTGGTGTCCCTCTCTGAGAGCCCAGCTGCTGGGCTGGAAGTCAGTTCCCCCCATATAGCTTCACATTTTACTTCTTTCTTGTTCTCAGCACCCCAGTGTAAAACCCCTTCTGGCTCTCTTAGACTGTCTCCCCCACCCTTTGCCTCCTGCCAAAACCCAGTGACGCATGCTTGACCTGGCTACCCCTCTGTACCCAGAATGCTCATGTCCTAACCTGGCCCCTATTCACTTGCACCCCTGACCTGCTTCTTCTCAATCCACAGGTGAAGCGGGAGTTAGCGGCAGTTCTGCTCTTTGAACCACACAGCAAGGCAGGGACTGTGTGTAAGTTGGACAGGGGACAGGGAGGGGCCTGGGCATGGGAAGAAGCCATGGAGGGGACTGAAGGGCTGTGCCTAATCTGTGCTTCTGTCAGTGTTCAGTCAGGGTGACAAGGGCACCTCATGGTACATTATCTGGAAGGGATCTGTCAACGTGGTGACACATGGCAAGGTGCATCTTCCCTCGCTCCCTCCCTCCACCACCCCTGGGATCCACTTCCTGGTGGGCTGTGACTTTATTGGTCACCCACACTATCTCCCATCCCACTTGTCTTCCCTGCCCTGGGTCTGTCCCCACAAGGGCTAGAAGTTAGGCTGGGCCATAACAAAGGGCCTGCTTGCAGGGGCTGGTGACTACTTTACACGAGGGAGACGACTTTGGACAGCTGGCGCTGGTAAACGACGCACCGCGGGCAGCCACCATCATCCTGCGGGAGGACAACTGCCATTTCCTCCGGGTGGACAAGCAAGACTTCAACCGTATCATCAAGGTGCCACTGCCGGGGCTGAGAGGGCAGAGGGCAGGAGATGGGGCATGCGGGAAGAGATCCTGTTAGAAGGAGAGGGCTAGGAGATAGGGAATGTGACAAGACAAGCAGGGTGGTGACACAGCATAAGGGTGTGAGGAAGCAGGAGACTTGAAGTAGTTACCTGGGGACATGCAGAGCCCGTGGGGCTTGGAGCACCAGGATCCCAGGGGCCCAGGGGAGACAGCGTCACGGCAGGTGAAATTCACCAAGGGAGTGCAGGCAGGAGAGGAGAGGTGCAGGGGGCGCTCAGTTGGGGAATGTACAGCTGAGGGTTGTGAAGGGGGATTGTTGGGAGACATATCCAGACTCATGAGTGTTGAATGGGGTAGAGGAAGGGCTAGAGGCCTGTGGGACTGTGAGTCTTAGGTCTGGAATGGCAGAGGTGGGAGGGCGGGCTCTAGCATGAAGGAGTCATCATGATGGACCTGCGTGTGTTGACTGTACACGGCTTGTTCTCCAGGATGTGGAAGCTAAGACCATGAGGCTGGAAGAGCACGGCAAAGTGGTGCTGGTGCTGGAGAGAGCCTCGCAGGGTGCAGCCGCTTCTCACCCAGCAACGCCGGGCAGGAACCGGTAACACACCCGCCATGCGTTCCCTCCTGCCCACCTTCTCACCTTCCATTCCCCAGTCTCCACTCCCTTCTGCCATGTCATACCCCTGCCCTCTGGCCACTTGGAGGTGGAGAGGCATCAAAGGGACACCACCTGAGTCAGCCAGTGAGTCAGGACAGAAGGCAGAGGGCAGGATAGATGACACAGGACCAGTGTGATGCAATTATTGATTGTCACCCCCGTGTGTGGGAGTAGCCAGAAGTGGCACAATGTTAACAACTGGCCATTTCTACTAGGTATACAGTAATGTCTGGCACCCCAGAGAAGATCCTAGAACTGCTGCTGGAAGCCATGCGGCCTGATTCTGGGGCACATGACCCAACAGGTAGGGGCAGGAGACACCCGGCTGGCTCCCATGCGCACATTGACTCATCGAGAGGTCAGCGCACCTGGGAGAGGGCCAGGCACCAGCATTGGACCTCATCAGGTGTTGGTGTCCTCAGGCTGGAGTGGGGAGCGTTGTCACAGGGGCTGGGATCACTGGCACCTCGCTCATGGTGGATGTGGGGGAAGGGTTTCCCAGGCTCCTGAAGGCTCCTCCTGTTCCTACCCTGCCCTGCAGAAATGTTCCTCAGTGACTTCCTCCTGACCCACAGTGTCTTCATGCCCAGCACCCAGCTCTGCGCTGCCCTCCTGCACCAATATCCTCTCAGCCCTAGAGTGGGGGAGTGTGTGGGGAGAGGATGGCATGCTGAACAGGGAGGTGGGAGCCTCCTGTGCATGACTCTGCTGGACCCTCTGACGCCCCAGGCTCTGGCTTGGCCCAGCCTGTCAGTGGCCCTGGGCAGCCTGCACCTCCCCTGCACCTCCGGGGGTTGTGATTTCCTTGACTGGTGCCCACCTTCCATGCGGAGCCTGCGGGAGGCAGTGAGCAAGAGCGCAGCACCTACATCTGCAACAAGAGGCAGCAGATCCTGCGGCTGGTCAGCCAGTGGGTGGCCCTGTATGGCCCCATGCTCCGCACTGACCCTGTGGCCACCAGCTTTCTCCAGGTACCTGGGAGTGCGGCAGGGCTGGACCAGCTGCCAGGGTGGATGTGGCCACAGTGAGCTCAGTGACTTGTCTTCTCACAGAAGCTCTCTGACCTGGTGAGCAGGGACGCCCGGCTTAGCAACCTGCTGAGGGAGCAGTGGCCAGAGAGGCGGCGCCACCACAGGTGATGGGACCTGAAAGTAAATAAGTGTGTGATATTGGTGACAGGCAGTAAAAGGGAGGGCTGAAAGCACCAATAGGAGGTCCTACACCTGACTTCTAGCCAGCCTGTGCCTCTGGGAGCCCTCACAAAGCTTTGCGCTCCTGGCACCGGAAGTGCATAGTCCAGGGCCATCCCTGAATACCCTGGCCTGTTCCCACTTATTTCCATGAGCTGTTCTTATCGAGTCCCTCACGTCATGCTTTGTCTGCTCTCATCCATCACGCCATCGTTTGTCCGTTCACACTCATATCCTGAGCTCACCGACCCTTCTCACTTCCTCCATTCCACCCATATTTATTACTGTGTGCCCTCAGTGCCTGTCCTGCCAGCCCCACCCAGTCAGCTTCCCAGAGCTGTCCTTCATCTTCCCAGCCTTTCCCAGGGAGACAACTGAGGTCTGGGGAGGGCTCACCCAGTCTGACAGCAAGTCCATTTCTCCTTCAGTAATTGTTTTTCCCCTGTTGACCTTGGAAAGTCGCAGAATCCAGGGGCCAGTCCGGCCCCTGGTTCCAGCGTGGTTCTTCCCAGCACCTCCTCCCCGATGTGTAATACGGAGCTGACCTCTGGACAGGGCAGAATAGGACCCTTCCAGCCCCCTGCCCCAATCTTGCATATACTTCTCTGCCCCTAGAGATACCTGTCCTCCTCTGACCTCCCTTTCGTCTGTCCACAGGTTGGAAAATGGCTGTGGGAATGCGTCTCCTCAGATGAAGGTATCCATCTGTACCAAGCAGCTTCTCATACCTCATACCCAGAGGCCTTCTCCCTCCATTCCTCTTGGACCACATGACCCTGGCCAGCTCCCACCCTGGGAGGCTGTGGTGGAGAGGTTCCCCAGAGATACACACCTTATGTGTGAGGATAGTGTTCTGGGTCAGGCTTTGAATGGAAGATGCTGTGATCTAAGACATAAAGCACAACTGTCTGAGCTAGCTGTCTCTGCTCTCTTCCCATCCTGCTCACCTCCTCTGATCCTCTGGCTCCTTCTGTTCTACAGGTGCAGCCCGTTACCACCTCAGGATCTTTATAACTGTCCCTTATCTGGGACTTCCTTTCACTGGCTTTTAGTTGGATCTTTCTTATCATTTTGATCTCAGCCAAAATCTTGGATGCTCAGAGAGGCCTCTGTGACTTCCCCATCCAGACCGCCCTCCCCTCACTCCCTCTCTCTTCTCCAAGGTGGTGGTGGTGTTATGTACTGACTCATAGCTGGCCCTCCAGTGAGTTTTCAGAGGTGGTAGATGCAGGAGAGGAGACTGCTCATCTTTCTCCCATGGTGCTTCCTAATCATCTGCCTTTGGGTCAGCAGTGCTGCTCTTCACCACTAGGCCACCAAAGCTCACTCTTCCATAAGCCTATGGTTTGCTTCAAACTATCACCACCTTGTGGCGTTATCTTCTTTATTTGCCTGCCTGCTTATTGTTTGTTGCTATGTGTTCATCAGAATGTTGGCTTCCTGAGCCTGCAGGAAGGTTCTTTTGTTCTTCCTGGCTTTCAGTTGATGCTCAGGAATCAGTGCTGGATGGCCTCGTGTGCAAGTTGCTGATGATGGTCTCAGGAGCGAAGGACCTACCGTTGCCCTAGTGGGGCTTACAGAGGGTCGAGGGACAGAGCTATCCAACAGTCTCATGATGGATGATGACAGAGGTCTCTGAAAGCAGAGAATGGGGAGAACTGACAAGGGACAGTGTCTGGTTCAGAGAAAGTATCCCCAGGAAGGTGACCCCTGGAGCTGAGAGGTTTGGTCTGAGGGTCAAGGAAGGCCAGAGGGAGAAAACTCGCCCACTTAGAGCCCTGGAGGTGGGAGAGCAAACAAGGTAGTGGAGCAGGTGGCAAAGGCAGGCAAGATTCAGAATGTGCAGAGCTCCAGCTGAGAACTATGGTGAGGGATTTGCCTGTTGTCTTAAGAGCAGAAATAGACATTGAAGGGGTTCGAGCTAAGGCTCTACACAATCTGATTTGTGTTTTGAGTAGACCAGCTGGACAGGCTGGACTTTATCCAGCAGACAATGATAGTCATTGAAGCTGTGATGGGACGCTTAACCTGAATCTGTTTAAACAGATTGGAGGAGGGGGGCCTGGAGGCACCTGAACAGTTGGACTATTGTGGAATGAAAGGAGTGAGATCTTACTGATAGGCAGAACTTGATGATAGCATGGGGTGAAGGGGACACTGGGAGACCCATTGTGAAGGAGAATCCATAGATCAGGGTGACAGGATCCTGGAGGCCAGAAGAATGGCTGGAAGAAGAAGTGACTTGTAGTCAGCATGAATAAATCTGATGTTATGCTTAGGTTGATGGATCCGGGAGGCATTTGAGGCCAGGATGTGGAAGGGCATCCAACACTGATGGTCTAGTTCTGAGTGATAGCTCCCTGTGAGGCTCTGTGGAAAGCTAACCGAGGAAAAGCAACCCAGCCTGACTCTAGAGGACCCTCACTCGAAAGCCAGATGGAGAAAGAGGGTCAGTGCAGCAGTTAGGAAGGGGGCAGTGAGCAGTCAGGCTGGGGTGCAGAGCCCAGGTGCTAGAGGCGCGTCCCACTCTGGCTCCTTCACCAGGAGAGGGTATCTGTGGGCACTGCTGCTGAGTCAGGAAGTGGGTTTTACAGGGCAGTTGATCAGCAGAGTGTGCTGGCTGAGATCACGGCCAGAGGCCGATTGGGATCCCAGCTCAGCCACTTAGCAGCCGTGTGGCCCTGGGCATGTTACTCAAACACCTTTATCGCATCTTTTTCATCCATAAAATGGCAATAATGATAGTACTTATGTCACAGGGTATTGGGGATCTTTAGATACTTAGAGCAAAGATTGGCACAGAGCAAAAGGTTGCTAGAAGGACAAAGAGGAAAAGCAGGTTGTCTGAGCTGTGTTTGCTTTAGGACGGCGCTGGGCTCAGAGAGTGGGGAGGGTGCACACATACCAGAGGGGCACAGCCTCATACACCCAGCCTCACCTTCAGACTGTTCTGTCTCCTCTGAGTGTGACCCCTCTGTCCCCCATCACACCTGCTGCCTTACCTGGGCTCTGGTTAACAATCATGCAGAGCCCTCTGGTGGTATGCATGTGGGCACAGCCCCTCTTACGCCAGCTACAAAGGTCCTCTCTGTGCCCTCCCCCTTACACTCCTTGGGGGGATTCTCCAAGTCTTACTGTCTCTTCCTCTAGGCTCGGAATGTGCCTGCTTGGCTCCCCAGCCAGGATGAGCTCCTCCCCAGCAGCAACTGTGCCATTCGAGTGGGGGACAAAGGTTCGTGGCCCAACCTGGGTGGGAGAGCCTGTCATCTGCTCTGTATTGCACCCCCTCCTGCAGTCACCCTGGGCCTCAGTGCTCCTGACCCACGGGAGGCACGCTGTTTTCCAGGGTCCCTGTCCTAGACTGCCATGCAGTGTGCTCCTGGTGCCCCTTCAGACTCAGGGCCTGCCTTACTGTGCAGCTTGTCCATCGTGCTTCTTCCTCACACCCCCCTCCTCTTCCTTGGGGTTCCTCCTCCCATGGCTCAGCCTGGTCCTCCTCTCCAGTCCCCTATGACATCTGCCGGCCAGACCACTCAGTCCTGACTCTGCATCTTCCTGTGACGGCCTCGGTGAGAGAGGTGATGGCAGCCTTAGCACAGGAAGACAGCTGGACCAAGGGGCAGGTGCTGGTGAAGGTCAACTCTGCAGGTGGTGAGTTGTGTGTCAGGGCAGGGCGGCTGTGAGGGACGGGGCCTCTCAGATCCACGTCCAGAGCCTTGGAATGAGCATCATCATTGTTCATTGTTTCCATCCTCATCAGCGTGAATGATGCTTGGCATTGATGGGAGGTTCATTATGTCTATTCAAAGTGCTTTACAAGTAGTGCTTAAGAGCTTTACTTGTATACCTGCACCTTTGTGCTCTTTGAAGAACTGTCTGTATGGAATCAAACTGACAACTCAAAAGGTGAGCTAGGAAGCTTGAGGGGCAGTGAGTTTATGTTAAAGGGGGGAGGAGCAGTTAGGAAAAGGAAGCCGAATGGTTGCACAACTTGAATGTAACTGACGTCACTGTGCACATAAATACTGTTGAAAGGGTATGTGTTTTTCTGTGTGTATTTCCTACAACAACAAAAAGAAATCATTAAAATAAAGCCAAAAACCTGAGCTCTAGTGTACACTGCCTGTGTTTGGTACCAGGCTTTTGCATCCTAATTTTGTGTCCTTGGGGAATGAGAGAACTAATCTTTTGCTTGTCTATATCATCACCTGTAAAGTAGGAGGAGTTATGAGGATTAAGGAAGTTAATGCAAAAAAAGTGTTTTATGATGGTTGTTGGCACATAGTCAGTACTACTCAAGTGTTGTTGTTATGTGTTGTCTAGTTGGAACTGATTCACAGTTGACCCGCCAGTGTGTTTTCAGAGGCTGTTGGTCTCACTAGAGGACATAGTACATCTTTCTCCATGGAGCAGCTGGTAGATCTGAACTGCAGCTCCTTACCACCAGGTCACCAGATCTGTGACTATCATCATCATCATCATCATACATATTTTTTTTTAAATCTCATGAGATACATCGTTTTATCTTATCTTCAGGCATGGAAAGTATCTCGAGAACAAGAAGCAGTTTGCCCAAGCTTACATAGTGAATGAGAGTATAAACTAGCCTTTGAATTTGGGTAGCTTTCATTCATTCATTCAATCAACCAACATTTTTCAGGGTCACTTGTGGCCCAGGCATTGTCTTGGGAAGATAGATCAACTTGATGGTTAAGAAAATAGCTTCCGGGCAAGCTCTGGTGGCCTAGTGGCAAGAAGCTGCACAGCAATCCCAGAGGGGCACGGTTCAAATCAACCAGATGCTCTGCTGGAGAAGGAGGGGCAATCTCCTCCTCTATCAGTCAGGTCTGATTTGACAGTACACACACACACACATACACACACAGTAAAAAAGAAAGAAAAAGAAAATAGCCTCTGGAATCCCAGACCTGTGTTGACATCCAAACAGTACTTTTTACTGTCTGTGTTGTTGTTGTTGTTTGGTGCTATTGAGAGTATGACTCACAGTGACCCTGTGAACAACAGACTGTCTGTGTTCTTCTGGACACATATCTTAACCTCTCTGAAGCTCAATTTCTTTGTGAAATGAGCACTATCATTGTGTGTATTTCATAGGACTGTGATGGTTATTAAAGAAGTGCTTTACACAAAGCGGTTAGCCCAGGCCTGGCACGAAGTCACTGCTCAGAGTCTGGTGGCCCTGAGGCTTAGTAACATCTGCTCTTGGAGGCCTGAGCCTTGGTGGTGTAGTCCACAGGGGGCTGCACTGCTAACTCGAAGGCTGAGTAAATCCAACAACTTCTCCTCTGGAGAAAGATGGGCAGTCTCCTCCGGTGTGGTTTACAGCTGTTGAAAACCTGCTGGAGGGTCAGCTATAAGAGAGTTGCAATGAGTTGAGCGGAGTGCAGAAGTGTTAAGGAGCTATGTTCATGTAGTGGTTAATATGCTTGGTTGCTAAACCCCAGATTGGTGCAGCCAACCTAAAGATACATGGTTCTAATCCACCAGCTGCTGTGCAGCAGAAAAATGGGCAGTGTCTTCCCATGATATTTACTGACTCTGAAAACCTGTTAGAGGGTCAGCTATGAGTTGATTTCAACTCAGTGGTACACAACAATAATAACAATAACTACCATGAAGATTGGCAGCCCCACAAACACTATGGGGCAGTTTTTCTATGTCCTATAGAATCACCATAGTGAAGATTTGAAGGCAATGGGTTTGCATGGGTCAGGGATTTTAGGATATTAAAAACTGCTGTTCTCTATGAAGGGCCCAACCCAAGCCTGACAGCTAGAGCCCAGGGTAGATGGGAATTAGGGAATTCAGGGAATAATAATAAGGGGTGGGGATGAGAAAAGACCTGTCAGGAAGTAAAGTGAGACTATGACATCAATAATGCTTCAGTGCTCTCTCGGTGGAAAGCATTGCCCTCTGGTGGCAACATAGTGAGTTGCAGTTGTCCAAGGTCAGTCTTTATTGAGATCCAACTATCAGGAACTCTGGTAGCCTGGTGGTCAGAAGCTATGCTATAATCCAAAGACACATGGTTCAAACCCACCATCTGCTCTGCAGGAGAAGGATGGGCAATCTCCTCCCATACAATTTAATGCCTCTGAAAACCCACTGGAGGGTCAGCTATGGGTCTGTACCAATTCTGTGACATACAACTATATGTCAGGCACTGGAGTTTTCCCCTTATTTTTAACTTTATTTTTATTGTTGGCACACGTACATATAGATAGAACCACAGCCATATAAGAAGAAAAAAAACCCAAACAAACCCCCCTGTACACAGAAATAAGGATATACTGAGATGTTAGCCACAGACTTTGGATGGTGAAACTACGGGCAAGTTTCTCTTCTACATTTCTGCAACTTAAGAATTTCTATACTGAACATATAGTTCATGTTTACAGTGGAACTATACAAGAGTGGATTGCCAGAATACTTTAACAAAGATCATTTAGAGTGAGGCAGAATATTTACCCTCAATCTCACAACTACCAACCACACAACTATTTTTAAAAACTGTTTTCCATGTTTCTTCCCATCTTTGACTCTCCTCTCCCTACTTATACACTATAGTAACCACAGCTCAGTGTGCAAAACAAGCTGAAGGAACCAGATCAAGATGTTAAAAGTAGTTGTTGGGAATATGGGTGAATTTTTTCTTGTACTTGATTGAATTTTCCAAGAATATGTCTTACATTTGTAATGGAAAAAAATACATACATAAACTTCATTATCAAAACACCAAAGACCATTCAAGGAATTTGAAACAAAATATTGAACCATAATCCAACCATACCAACACTAATTTGAATTATTTGCTGCAGTTCTTTTCACCTTAGACTTAAACATATATATTTAATTAATACTGATAGTTAAAATCATAAGCTGGTAAGCTAAGACAAGATGGAAGCAATATATCAAGATGTTAACAGCATTTGTTGGGCCAGGCACTGTATAGAACACTGATTTCCAGATTACTTTGATAGACATCCATGCCAATGCCAGTATTTATTACAAGCCTTCACCATATGTATTTGTCATTATGTACCATCTAGTTGGAACCAATTCATAGCTGACCTTTGTTTTCAGAGGCAGTAAACTCCACAAGAAGAGATTGCTAATCTTTCTCCCACAGAGCAGCTAGTGGATTCCAACTGCATACCTTTGAGTTCGCAGTGCAGCTCTCTAGCACTAGGCCACCAGAGCATCATATGTATATCTGCTTATAAATCACATACATATACTAAAAAAAATCATTGCCTTCGAGTTGGAATTGACTCATAGCTGAGCCTCTGGCGGGTTTCTGGGGCTGTGAATGACTCTTGAGGAGATGGCCTATTTTTTCCTGGTGAGCCTTGGGTGTGTTAGAACTACCAGAGGAGGGCTGTTTGTGTTAGCCCTGTACTTTCTCAGGGACTACATTACCAGAGCTCTCTATATTCTTTTTTATTATTATTATTTGTGTGTGTACCATCAAATCTGACTAGTACAGGAAGAGATTGCCCTCCTTCTCCAACAGAGCATCTGGTGGATTCGTACAGCGTACCTCTGGGATTGTAGTGCAGCTTCTTGCCACTAGGCCACCAGAGCTCCCTAAGAGCTCTCTATATTCTTGTTATGTACTATCGAGTCAGAACCAACTCATAGCTGACCCTTCAACATGTTTTCAGACTCAGTAAATCACATGGGAGGAGACTGCCCATCTTTCTTCTGTAGAGTTGTTGTTGGATTTGAACTAATAGCCTTTGGTTTGGAAGCTCAACTCCTTACCCACTAGGTCACCAGTATACACATATACTGCTACACTAATAATATTCAATTATAAAACTGCTTACAAGTCAGAACTACAGAAGAGATGAGAAAAGCAAATATAGGTAGAAAAGCAAAAATGTTTTCCTAAACACAGTGGTGGTTTTGTGTACTTTAGAAGCCACTGGCCTTGAAAATAGAGACTCAAACATGAATAAAACTCACAGTCCACAAGGAGCTGATGATAAGCAGTTTTCCATGCTTCGAAGTACTATTTAACATATCGTAAACTTTAAGCCACTTTTTGTATCAATGATGCTATTTTGTTTGTGGGCTAGTTCCATTTCCCTTTTACAGAGGAAGAAACTGAGGCTCAGGGAGGTTAGTCTTTTTGAGGTTGGCCTCTCCCCCTCAGAATCCTTTCACATCCTACTTGGGGACACCCCTGGGTGGGTTAGAGGAGTGGGCACACAAGCACTTGTGCCTGTGCATTTAGGTGACAGGGCATCTGTCTGTTCCAGAGCCCCGCACCCCCACCCCCACCCCAGCACAGCTTCCACTCTCTTGCAGATGCCATTGGCCTGCAGCCAGATGCTCGTGGAGTGGCCACCTCCCTGGGGCTCAATGAGCGCCTTTTTGTTGTCAACCCACAGGAAATGCATAAGCTGGTAAGGCCCAGGCAGGGTGCCAGGATGCAGAGAAGGACTCTGCTCTGGGATGTTGGAGAGATGTCCAGGGAGGGTTTCTGGGAAAAGAGAGGGGACCAGCCTTGGCTGCTGCAAGCTTTTAAAAGAGGAAGAAGTGGCCTCCATTGATGGCAGAACTCCAGAGATTGGTGGGAGGGTGATACCACAACTGAGAGAAAAAGAAGAATGAGGAATCTAGTTAAGGATTCCCCAGGGGCCAGGAATCCTGCAGGGAGGGGTCCCAGCATTGGGGAACCATCAGGAGATGCCTCCTTGGAGAGCTTCATCCTCAAGTGCTCCAACCTCTGAACTTGTAGTACCCCGCTCCCCCCAGCATTCCTCCCACTACAGAGCCCTCCCCACCCCATGCCTTTCCCTGGATTCCTCAGGCACCCCCTGAGCGCTCTCCCACCTGCAGACCCCACACCCCGAGCAGCTGGGGCCCACTGTGGGCTCTGCAGAGGGGCTGGACCTGGTGAGTGTCAAAGAGCTGGCGGGCCAGCTAACGGACCACGACTGGAGCCTCTTCAACAGCATCCACCAGGTACGGGAGGCCCCTGTCCAGGGCACATAGAGCTGGGAGTCCTAGAGGCTGAGGCTCACCTGGCAGCACTGAACTCTCGTGCCACCCCCCAGGTGGAGCTGATCCACTACGTGCTGGGCCCCCAGCACCTGCGGACCGTCACCACTGCCAACCTGGAGCGCTTCATGCGGCGCTTCAACGAGCTGCAGTACTGGGTAGCCACGGAGCTGTGTCTCTGTCCGGTGCCTGGCCTGCGGGCCCAGCTGCTCAGGAAGTTCATCAAGCTGGCTGCCCAGTGAGTGCTGGTGGAGGGTTGAAGGTGTGTCTGACCCAGAGGCCCTTGTTGTAAGCCTGCATTTTTGCTCAGCCTGCTGCCAAATCTGCCACCCCCTTTCTTCTCTGGCCCCTTGAGCATCTGCCTTCCCACCTCCACCAGCTTGGGTCCCTTGGGAGGACGCACTGCTCGGCTCTGTTTGAGCCCCAGGCCTGTTGTGGTCTGAAGGTGGAGGTGCTGTGGAGGACCTCCATAGCATCCTCTGAGGCACCTGGGTCTTCTCACAGCCTCAAAGAACAAAAGAATCTCAATTCCTTCTTTGCAATCATGTTCGGCCTCAGCAACTCGGCCATCAGCCGCCTGGCCCACACCTGGGAGGTAGGTGTGCTCTGGAAGTCAGTCTGGGAGAAGCCCCTACCCCTCCTAGGAGCCTTGGCTATGGGTGGGCTCCAATCACAGAACAGTGGTCACTCCTTCTGTCTCTCCTTTCAGAGGCTGCCCCACAAGGTCCGGAAGCTGTACTCAGCCCTGGAGAGGCTGTTGGTGAGTGCTGGGCCTCAGCAGGCCCTCTAGAAACCTAGACTCTTAGGTTCCCAGTTCACCTCCCCTGGGTGACATCCAGGGCATCCAACCCTGGCTCAGGCCTTGTTCCCTCTGGCCTGTGTGTTTGGGGAGCTTGCTAAGTTATGGTAGTATTAAGTATTATGATGAAAATTGCAGTGTATCATACGGTGTGTGTGAGGAATTACCTTCTTTGAATGTGTAAAGATCTGGACAGAATGTATGGAAGGGTGTACGGCTATGGTGTCTATGGTGCCAGGAAAGACCAGAGGACACTGGACTCCAGCTGCAGTGCCTGAAGCCTCAGAAAACAGGTCCTGGTATCAAGTACTCACTGTGTGCCAGAGCCTCAAGGGGCTTGTGGGCCTGTCTAATTCCTTCACTCCTCGAGTTGAAAGATTTGAAGCTTGGACAACGTTCCAGAGTGAGTCAGAGTTGAGGAGGTGTCTTTATCAGCCTCTAAAAGCTCCTGAAGAAAATGTTCACCTCAAAAACTATATATACATGGCTGGCTGGTCCTGTTGGATGATGGGGAGCCACATGGGACTCAAGATGTTTAGAAGAATTTGTTCACCAGAGACACACAAGGGACAAATAAGAAAAGGGGGAAAGGGAGCCTGATTTTCAGGAAGCCTGTGACTAACAGCCATGAAATGACTTTTGGGGGCTGATCTGAGGTCAGGAAGTTACATGCAGATTCTGGGCAGTTGCAGCCTTTCCAGTTGGTCCCACCCCTTGCCCCCTCTACAGAGTCTGTCTAGGTGAAAGCCCAGCCTGAGGAGATTCTCAGCTGAGTCTCTCCTCAAGGTGTGAAGATGGGCCACTCTTTGCCGACACTCTTTAGTTGGGTGTGTGATTGGTTGTGTAGTCCATGGTGCGTTATGGCGTACAGATCTGCCTTCTCTGATGGGCCTTCTTCCTCCTCAGGACCCCTCATGGAACCACCGAGTGTATCGACTAGCCCTCACCAAGCTGTCCCCTCCTGTCATTCCTTTCATGCCCCTCCTTCTCAAAGGTAACAGGGTCTGTTCCTGAGGGTTTACAGTGTGCCAGGGCCTTGGAGAGCACAGAGGTGAATTAATTATTTCATATGCTTGAAGAGAAGTTAAGACCTACAGACAGATTGTTGTGTATTGTTGTATACTGTTGAGTCAAAACCAACCCATAGCTCACCCTCCAGCGGGTTTTCAGAGGCAGTTAATTGCACAAGAAGAGATTTCTCATCCTTGTGTTGTGAGCAGCTGGTGGATTTGAACTGTGTGCTTTTGGGATTGCAGCGCAGCTTCTTACCACTAGGCCATCAGAGCCTACAGACAGATAATATAGAGATAATAATGATGTTAGTTGGATTATGATCTGTCTGAAACTTCTGAGATACAAGGAAATCACTCCAGGGAGAAAGGATCAAGAAGAGAGCAGTGTGGGGTAGCCCTCAACATTCCTGGGCTGAGGGAGAAGGAATTTGGGGACTTTTGAGAGAAAATTATCTACTTACAGACATGACCTTCATCCATGAGGGGAACCACACACTGGTAGAGAATCTCATCAATTTTGAGAAAATGGTAAGTTCCGGGCCGGTGGGTATTCCCCACTGGATTGGAAGACATAACTAATAGGGGTCGGAGATGTCCAAAATCTGCCAGTAATGTTATAGTTAGATATACTTATTTTAAAATAGTCCTCACCTTATCTACTGCCTGCCAGAGGGCCTGGTCTCTGCTGGGGTTGCTGAGGTAACAGCCTCAAGTACCTTCCTCTTCAATGAGAGCCCGTGGCAGCCCGATCCCTCTCAAAGCCATTCCTGGTCTCTTCTTCCCAGCGCCTGGCTTTCACTGGGCCTCTGTGTGTCTTGGGGCGAACAGACATGACTCATTTCTCAGGCCCCCTAGTCTTGGGGAACAGTGGTTGCACAGTGGTTCAGCACACAGTCACTGAGAGAGAGAGGTTGGATGTTAGCGCCCACTAGCTACTCTGTGGGAGAAAAAACTCAGTGATCTGTTTCTATAATGAGTACTGACTGGAGAACCCTCTAAGGCAGTTTCGCTCTGTCCTGTGGACTCAATGGCACTAACAATAGCAGTCCCTAGGGTGCCTTTTTCAAAGAGCTGGAATCCTCTGGTGCCCTCCAAGGGTAGGGCAGGGTTCTGCCCCTCAGGTCATACCTCACGCCCTTGTGTTGCCCACAGCGAATGATGGCGAGGGCCGTGCGGATGCTGCATCGCTGCCGGAGCCACAGCAATGGTGAGGCTGCGCTGGTGAGAGGTCTGCTCGGCCCAGTGGGAGCCTCTGCCCTTCAGCCCCACAAGGCTTGGCCCTGATCTCTTCTCTCCTCCTCCCCAGTGCCTCTCTCACCACTCAGAAGCCGCGTGTCCCACCTCCACGATGATGGCCAGGCTGCGAGGATCTCCACGTGTAAGTAAGGGTGATGGGGAACACTAGCCATGCTTAACCGTGGTACTCACCATGGACCAGCCACTTTGCACACGCAATGCTGGTAACACTTCACAACACCTCTGGGGGGAGGTGATATTATTTTCAGACTAAGACGAGAACACAAGCTTGAACTTCTAATTTACTCAAGGCCACACAATAAATGATGGAGGTGGGGTCCAAACTCTTCTTTCAGAATTATGTACAATTTTTTTTTAATAGGACCTCAGTTGTAAGTCCATAATCCCTGGTTCATATCACACTATCATTACTGGCCCTTCATTGCATATATAGGGAGCTCTGGTGGCCTAGGGGTAAGAAGCTGCAGTGCACTGCAATCCCAAAGGCACACTGTTCAAATCAACCATCTGCTCTACGGGAGAAGGATGGGCAGTCTCCTCCTGTGCAATTAACTGCCTCTGAAAACCCACTGGAGGGTTAGCTATGGATCAGTTCTGACACAATGGTACATAACAACTACAACAATAATATAATGAGCATCTATGTTCCACTAAGGAGCTCTGGGGGAGCATTAGTTAAATGGATTCAAATCTACCAGCTACTCTGCAAGAGAAAGATGGGCAGTCTCCTCTCATGCGATTAGCAGCCTCGGAAAACCTGCCCGAGGGTCAGCTATGTGTTGGTTCTGACTCAACAGCCCAGCACATAACAACAACAACAAAAACAACTTCCTGTAAAGTTTTACATCCTCAGAAACCTGTTGAAGGATTTCCACAATTGGAAAATAACTACAGATATGCATTTTGTTTAATTACCATATATCTATTATGCTTCAAAAATATTCTTTTATTTGAGTTTTGGTTTTTTTACATCTCTAGTAAAATCCTTATAAGCAGGATATTGAAAGAACTCTTATAACCCAATAATAACACAAAAAACCTTATAAAACCAAGTCTTTTCAAAGACATTTAACCATATACAAAATAAGAAAGTAGGGGAAAGTGGTGAAGTATTTTACAACTTTGATGAAAATGTATCAGTCAACAAATCCAATGAGTTCAACAAACTCCAAGGTTAAACACGCTCAGCCTATTTTAAGCAAGCGTAAACACAAATTATGATAGTCAATATGCTGAAAACAAAGAAAATCCTGAGACAACATTTTGGTTGTTTTTGAACTTTGTGAAAGGAGTATTATGCTCTGTGGAATCTTGGGGAGCTGTTTTTTTCAGAGTCTATGCTTTTAACCACCCAAATATGGGATAGGGGGGAGGCAGGAAGTGTCAAGGGGACGGGAGAGAAGGCAGGGTGGGGTCGGAGGGCAGAGGAGGTGTCTGTGCTCCTTGCAGGGGTGTGTCTCCACAGTACTGCCTCCCTGACCGCTCTCTCCCGCCAGGCTCGGAGCAGTCCCTGAGCACCCGGAGTCCAGCCAGCACCTGGGCTTATGTCCAGCAGCTGAAGGTCATTGACAACCAACGGGAACTCTCTCGCCTCTCCCGGGAGCTGGAGCCATGAGGGGCTGGGCTGGAGCAGGCGCTTCCCTCCAGGAAAGCCAGAGCAGGCCCAGGCCAAGGGGCCACAGGCTGGTCACAGCTGGACAGGGCTCTCCGAAGAGTGGACTCGAGGCCCTGGAGCGGGCAGCATGGTGGCAGCTGTCCCCTGTGATGACTGATGGCCGAGGAGGACCGTAGAATGGAACCGAGCTGGGGCTCAAGGCCAAGGAATGGGGGGCAATGAGGAGCTGGAGTGGGTGGGAGAGCAGAGCAGGCTCTGGGACTCTTCAATAGAGAGCTCTCTACACCATGTTTTTTGCAGATTCCATGCCTTGTGGCTTTGTTGTCCCTCCTCTCTTAGCATGTGCGGCTTGTTTTCCCAGTGGACTGAGTCTGCATGTGTGGGGCATGTGTGGGGCAGGATGGGGGCTGCTGCGATGGCTGTTGCCCCATAGGGGTGGGGAGGCCTGTTTTTCTTTCTGCAACGTATGAGATAAACAGTTGGGTGTGTTCAGGGCAGTTTATGAGGGAGTGGTGGCCCTTGAGGCTCTGCTAAAAATGAACCAAAGCCCGTGAGTTCAGGGGCCAGCCCTGTGGAGGGTGTAAAAGATGAGGTCTCAGACCCTGTACCCCGGGAGAGGAGCTGGGGAGGAGATGTGGTGCTCCTGGAGTCGACCCAGCCACACTGGCCAAGAGAGGCACTGAGAGGCTGACAGAGCTGTCCCTTTACCCTCGGTGGTCTCAGGGGCCAGGCAGGCTTCCAAGGTGCCTGATGGCTCCCAGATAGGCCTCCTGGGCTGTTGGCCACAGCACCTGCTAGGGCCTGGAGCCCCTGTCAGTGTCCAGCCAACATCACCAGCAGCCCTCCACGGGGACCTGATCGATGCAGCTCGTCCCTTCTCTCTTTCTCCTCCTGTGCCAGCTTCTACCTCCCTCTGGCCTAGAGCTCATTTGGGCCTGTCAGTGTGGTTCCTGTGGGACAGATTCCTCTAAGAGTGACCAGTGACTGAGAGGACACTGAAGCCGAGATTCTCAAGTTCCCGGGGGAGGAACTGAATATCCTCAGCACCTGCACAAATGTCAAAGCAGCACCTGCGTTTCCCTTGTGCCATGGACCACCCTGCAACCTCTAGGAAGTCAGGATCTGCCACCAGTGATGAGCATCATCCCAGCAAACTCTGTTGGCACAAAGGGACCTCCTTCTCCTGCCTTTCCAGCAAATACCCAAACAATCAACTACTGCAAGGACTCTTCCCAACCGACTGCAAGCAAAGGAAGAGCTCATACAAGGCCAGGCCAGGCACGGTTTCTGTCCTCTTGAGCTCTCCATGGCTCTGGAGGCTAGTGGGGTCAGCAGAGTGCCTGGCCCCAGGACAGACCTGATGGCCTTGGGAAGACTTCTGAGTAGGTATTAAGGCAGCAGGGTCTGAGGGTATCTGGAGGAAGAGGGCCCCTTCCTAGAGGACACAGAGGTGGCCTGACCCCTACACCTGCTCAACAGGTTCATCTGCCAGTGCTCAAGCCAGGCAAGCCTCCCACTCTCCTTCCCTCTGCACTCCACCCTCCTCTCATCCCATCATACAGCTGTGGAGACACAGGCACACCGCTCTCGAATGGGTTGGCTGGGGTCAGAATCCTTTGCAGGAGGGCAGAAAGAGTAACTTGGATGTATCTTCAGCTTCTAAGTGAATCTCATGAAGTATGTTCTCTGCCTTCATTTTTCTGATGGGCATCAAATGGGTGTGATGATCTCCAACCAGCTTTCAGTGCCAACAAGTTAAACAGCACAGGTGGCATCTACCTGCAGTCCTGTGTCCTTGGCAGGAAGAAAGGGTGTCATCACTTCCTGTGGAGTCATCAGAGGCTAGCTCTCTGGCTGACTAAGGTAGAGCCAGGTGGCCAGGGTGACCAATCTAGTTCCCTTGCCTCTGGGCAGAGATGAAGTGTCACAGGCCATGGATGCTTCCAGAGCTGAATAATCATGACATATAATGCCAGCGGTGGTGAGTCAAGAGTCTTGAAGCTTTCCTCTTTTCTAGACTTATCTGTCCATGGTTCAGCAATGCTCACACCACCCAGCTAACCTCTGCCCTTTGCATCTTTCCCCATGATGCAGCAGGAGCCATGCGGAATGGGCAGCCAGTGACCTCCATCAAGGTTTCTTCTTGGTGAACGCAGCTAACCCCCAACAGAACTTCCAGGAAGCCTGTCAATCTCCTTTCCAACTGGGGCCACCCTGCAATCTCCCAGCCACCTCAGTCTCATGGGGAAGGGTAGATTTTTCAGCCTGTTGAGAGTAGAGTAGGGCGGCAGGAGCTTGACTGTTGTGTAAGAAGAAACAGACTCTGGGAGTAGGAGCTGAGATGTAGTGTACTGAGTGACCGGACTGGGCCACTGGTGGAAGGAGGGAGGCTGAGGGGGAGGACGAGGTTCCATATTAGGGTGGTACTCTGAGGGCTGTGTTCCTGCCTGTCTGCCTCACTGCCCAGGCAGGAACGGGAGAGGAAAGCCATCCTCTTATGTTCACTGGCAGCCCAGGTTGTGTGTTGCTGCTGTTGTTGTTATGTGCTGTTGAGTTGGCTGTGACTCATATTGTTGTTAAGTGCCATTGAGTCGCAGGCGACTCATAATGACCCTATGAACGAAGTCCTGGACACTTCCTGTATAACTTTTGTTCTTTCTCCAGGTTCATAGGGTTTCCAGAGGAAAGCTATTGTGGAAGTGGATGCCACTCCTGCTTCCAAGCTTGTTTTAATCAGGGAGCTTCACCAAACACTGTCCACCATAAGTAACAGTATTCGGCTTCACAGCAACCATGAGTTACCTCTGTACAGCTAGTGGACATACCAGGGTTACACTACCTAGAAGAATGTTTCACCAAAAACAATTAAAGGTTGATGGGATTTGAAGCTAGGGAGTGGCGCAGGCTCCCCAGGCTCGACGCCACCCTTAATTACCCTTACTCTAGGGGTCAGGGCTGCCCATCCACCTTTGAAGGCCAAAAAGGACAGTAACATACAATGCAAAAGACCCCAGAAACTTCCCTTGTCTGACAGCCACCAAGAGGAGCCGCCAGGGAGACACCAGCCATCCCGCCCACTTAGCCGGCTGGCTTCCAGAGTTGGGGGAGACTTCGTTTCCCAAGCCTTGTGTGGGATTTGAAACTAGGGCCTGGCACTCATAGCGACCCTAATGACAACAATAACCCTGAACTCTGCTCTATCTTGTGCCACTTAACTGTTTCTGACACACCTACCCCCATTACCCCAGTCACTGAATCAAACCATCTCATCGAGGGCCTTCCTCTCTTGCTCTGTCCCTCCAACCTCCCAAGCATGACATCCCTCTCCAAGGACTGGTCCCTCCTTGCATCACGTCCAAGGTAGGTCAGACAAAGCCTCAGAATCCTTGTCTCCAAGGAACAGCCTGGTTTCAACCTCTCCAGGATGAACCGGTTTGTTTTTTTAGCAGTCCATGGTATATTCAGTACTCTCCAGCACCACAGCTCAAAGGTAGAGGCCTCTATTTTCCAGGCAGCCATGATAGATGAAAGAATTGATGGAACTCCTGAGAGAGAGGTATGAAGGAAAGGAGTGTGACCCAAGATCAGGGACTTTATAAAAATTCTATCTGAAAGGAAGAAAGTAGAAATAGAGAGAGAGAAGAAGAAGAGAGTGGGTCTCCTGCAAGATGCTCCAAGGAAGGGAGTAGGAGAATGGGTCCCGGGGAGGTAACTGCTCCACACGTACATTCTCCCGGCTCCTCCTATTCTGCTTTTTTGTTAGCTTCTCTGTGAAAGCCCGAGGCAGCGGCTGGTCAGGCGTGGGCTCTAATTGCAGAGTGCACACCGGGATGGGCTCTAGCTCACCAGCAGGCTGAGCAGGATCTAGGAAAGGCAGGATCTGGAAGGCCTCATCCCTCTCCAACCCCAACTTCTCTCCCTGACAGCTAACCCTGCCCAGTCCCCCAGCCCCAACCAAGCAGGAAGGCAGATACAGGTCTGTGACCCAGTTACTCCCTTCAGCATAACAGTAGTGCCCCAGGGAAGGATGGGGGAACTTCTGCTTTCACACTCCCAGTGATTTCTGTGTCACCAACAGTCCTTAGTCTCTGGCTGCTCTGTTAACCAAGCAGCAAAGATTAATGCTGCTCTTATTCATAGTCTTCATTGTGATAATAATAGATTTAAGTTTGAATACTTTCCGGTGCACTTTCATATTTCTCATCATCTTTTTATTCTGATTATAGGATAGATAAGGTAAGCATTGTTAACTTCTGTTTTACAAAGAAACTGAGGCACAGAAAGTTTTGCCTAAGGCCACACAACTGATTAATAACAGGGTGAACTGGTGAAGTAAGTAGGTGTGCATCAGCCATGCCCCAGCTATGGACCTGCCCATCCAGGTCCTTCCTTATGTCTCGGATGCTCTCTAAATCCTGGTATAATCCTCTCCTATAGGAATAATGAGGAAGACCCTCAAATCAGGGATTGACACAGTGACTGGCGCAACGGACTCAAGTATTTTAGAAATTATGAGGATGGCACAGGATAGGGCAGGGTTCAGATCTGTTGGTCACAGAGTTGCTATGAGTCGTATTTGACTCAATTCCGGGTCATGATGATATCTTGTGTGTCAGAGTAGATCTGCACTTTTTGATGACAGCTTTTTCTGAAGTAAACCATCACACCTCTTTTCTGAGGTACCTTTCTTTTCTTCTGAGTGCAGACTCAAATCTTCAACCTTTTGGTTAGTAGCCAAGCACATTAACTTTACCACCAGGGACTCCACTGGAAGAGCAGAACTCAGTCTTGTAAATTTCTCCCTCCTTCGGTTCTAAGCTTCTTTACATTTTGAATAATTACTATGCCATACTTGGGCCTAGTAGGCAGTCCTGGCCCTCAGGAAGCCAGCAGCCAGCCCGGTGGATAAACACAGAGCTAGCCCACCTGAGGTGAAGAGGCTGCAGATTGTCAGTTCAGAGACACTTAGAACTGCAGTGTATCACTGCTCACTGTTGGAAATCAGGTTCTCAGCACAGTATCTCCACCTGGGGCATTCACACCAGCCCACACAGCTCCACACCAGAGCTGGATGGATGCTCTCAGCTCCCCACTAGTTCAAATTACCAGGATATCTGACAGATGTAGTGGCTGGTGGCCAGAGTAAAAAGAAGAAAAACAGTGTAGGGGCAGCCAAGTCTGACCTCTACTAACTCCATAAGGGGGAATTGCTCCCATTAACAATCTCCACAGCACAAAACCAAGTCCCATGAGGTCAGCCATGTTGCTCACACTCCCTCACCTATTCT